AAGTCATTTCTAATGTATGCACTAGATTACTATATTAAAAGTCTTGAACAGTACTTTTTTTTATTATACTATTAGTATGAACACAATAAACACAAGTTTTAATACTAAGAAATCGATTTTTTGAAGTAAAATTAAAATTTTGAGGTTATGTTTGATTTATATAACGCTGTAAGGGTGAAATTAAGATAGGGCAGCAAAAAATACAAAAAAATATATGCTTTGTATGTTTGTATGTATCGTCTGCTATTCTTACAAGCTAATTAGTATCATAATATTAGGACTTTTCCATCAGATCACCAACTTTAAATAGACGGTACACTGTAACATGTAATTCTCATAACTTCTTAATATTTTTCCTTTATTCCTACGCCCAAAAGCTTCAATTTCCATTTTGAATCGTGTCAATATCTTATTTCGTTCATCAGATATTAGATTTTGAAAAAAAAAATTCGAAAAAGGTCCACTGTGCGCTGGTCCATTAAGATTTGTTGATCAATATCTGATTTTTTTTTAATTTTAGTGATTCGTTAGTACAAAAAAAAAAAAAAAATGAAACGAGATTTTCAAACAGAAAATTAACCATGTTATTTCATTCGAAAACGAAACAATAAGATGAATTGGTACACGATATCGGTTTGAAAAATGTTTTTTTTTTTTTTTTTTTTTTTTTTTATCATTACAAGAAGCTCAAGATAATGTTCAGTTCGAAGATAATACTATGATGCATGGCTTCGGATGATAAATGGCACTTGAGAGTAAATAAAATTGAATTGAACAATGTTGATATTCATTCACAACTTCATTTTTACTTATATTTCGATAAGAGATGTGACATCAGAAAAAAATAAACATGCATTAATATTTCCTGAAAATGTCGAGGACACAAATTGGCCTAGATTGCCTGATACCCTTCATAATACTTTTTTTCCCCTNTTCCTTTGTAAAGAAACAAAAAAGATTTTAAGGAAAAAAAATTAATCATCGAAGTCATATAAATAATGATATTAGCATAATCGGATTTTTATCACAATTTACCTGATCATGTGAAAAAAAACGCGATAAAAAGGTAACACAAGTGTAAATTAAATACGGTATGTTTATAAATTTGCTGTAGACACTAACGATGTAGTCCTATTCATCACATCATCATGTTAAGTAAAATTTTAATTTTTTCTGTGTGTTTTTATCACACCACGCAATTGTTTGTCGATAGTAGTGAGGTATGTAAATATCTGTGTATATAAATTTGTCAGTACAATATTAGATTTTTCTGTACTGGCTCTTATAAAATATTACAATAGTACAATGAAGTATCTTGTTATTAGCGATTGATTTTTTCATAAGACAGATATAATATTTATTAATTTTATCAATAGTCTTACAGTGCACTGATCGATTCTCTTATTCAAACAACATTCCCTGATGTTTCTGATGCAAGTAGGGATTCTTTTTCGTAATAAAGATGGCAATAAAAAGTTCTGAGTAATAATTTTCATGATTTTCCTTAGAATTAAATTACACATTTGGTAAATTGATAACTTCTCAATCTTCTCGACTAAAGAGAGAAATTCGACCGGTAAAATTTCAATTTGGTAATGAAACCATTAAGTTACGCCTTAGACCCATGCTATATAATGTTATGCAACATAGTTCGCCAGTGTGGACTTTGAGACCAGTAGATGAGTCTGAAGAATATCATTTTTACGAAGAAATTGAAGAGGTATACTTTCAATTTTTTTATTCAACTTTAAGAAACATAAAATATTTCATATTGCTAACCAATTATAAATTTACTATTTTTAGATCAAACGAAATATTGATGGCATCTTCTATCAAGATTTTCACAATAAGGCCATAATGCTCGGCTTTTACAGGAATGGCCAAATTTTCTTTGTAAGTAAATTATTTAACCTGATTAGGTTTATCATCGTTGCTATATATTATTCAAAAAATAACGCATGATCACCTTGAAAACCTGATTTCAATGGTCTTTTTTCTAGGATGGTGTTATTGGAGAGGGTATAAATAGAAAAATAATTCGAGCTATTCCTGAAAGATGGTACAGTAAGAATATAGTAGGATTGAATGACCATATAGTTTTTAAAGTGGGAGAGAACAAAGATAAAATCATGGAGCAACGTTGGTACCATTTTTAATAAATTTTCTAATGACGTTTTGAGTTGAGATGTAAAGTAGCATTTTCCACAGTTGGGGATACCAGTTACTTTCAACGAACGCGGAAATTGCAGAAACCATTAAAAAAATTACATGTAAAGTTGTTACTGGTTGTGGAATATAACTATTACAAGTAAGACTATTTGCACTCGAATTCTTTACAGTTTTAAATTCATTTAACAAATGATATTTCGTAATTTTGTTTATTGAAATCAATAGTAACTGTTGACAGAGTTGTCAAATGGGTTTCTATTCTACTGATACAAACATGGTCAAATTAGTTCCCAGTCGATAAACCCAATTGGGAGACAAAACATACATCAACTTTTATACTTAAAGATTACGACAATACTTTTTCTGTCACACTTTGCTCAGACCTCTAATTGGCAGTCGTTTTAATGTTGTTTAAAAAAATATTGACAGCCACTGATGTTGACGAAAGGTGATGAAAAAGTTTTTTTTTCAAGTATAGGTTCCGTGCTTCCGTTCGAGTTGTTTTGAAACATTTGATTACGAGATCAATGACCGTGTCTCTTCTGTTGCATTAAATGCTAGGAAATCAATTTGACTATGCATTCTACTGACACGGAAACGAATTTGACTATTTTTGTGATTTTGAGAACCAATTTGGTAACGGCCACTGTATATTTTAGGATGTTCGGGGAAGATTTAGTAAAAACTCTTAAATACCTGTCAATATTGTGGAATGCAGTTAATTTGAAGTACAAAGAAATTTCCTCTCCCAAAGTTACTATTCGAATCACTGGCGTAATCATAGAAACGGTAAAAAGAGTTTTTGAAAAATTTCAATGACAGTAAAATTTTAATGGCTAAAATAAATATTTAGAAAGCTGCAGCTGCATCATACATCCGTGCCGCTAGTGACCCGAACAGTACAGACTCTATCAATCATTTGATCTTGATTTACAAAGGTACGCAGTACTTTAAAAACCAGTTTTATCACGAAACTTACTTCGACGATTATAATTCTGCCGTAGTGATGACGAGGTGATGTATATGTTTACAATTCAGTATATGTCAACTTTTACAAACCCAGTGATTTTAAAAATTAAATAACAAATAAACTATAAATTTTTAGTTTGAAATCAGGACCAGTTGTGGGAAGTGCAATGGTGGCTCAGATATGCGAAAAAAATGTTATTTACATTAATGACGATGCTAACTATGATGCCATCTTCACTGCTACCCATGAACTTGGACACTCGTAAGTAATGATTACAAGAATTATCATATAAAGTGTATAAATGTTTTTCAAATATTCTGTAATTGAACTTATTTTTATTGCAGACTTGGTCTAACTCACGATGATGCGTCTATCTCTGAACCACCTTATGAAGCCACTATTTTGGCACCTTATGTCATGTCAGCCAAAAAACGTTACTGGTCACAACAAAGTTTGAGAGAGTTGGAGGAGTTTGCATCGTAAGCAAAATCAGTTTAGAAACACTTTTTGAATTGTGTTAAAAAATTTTTCCTACAGTTAAATATGTTTTCTTTTTTTTCTTTTTTTTTTCAGGACAGAGGAAGCTGAGTGCTTGAGAACCAAACGTACGAGTTGAAAATATGTGTGAATGCTAAAGAACGAGATTTTTATTTGTAATGTACAACGACTGTAAAATATTATAGTTAGTAGTTTTGTAAATACAGCTAGATAAATTAAATAAAATTGCCGCTTGGAAGGAGTGAGGTGTCAATTCAGCCAAGAGTGATAGAAGTAACAGTTCTGTTGAAAAGAACAGAATCTCAATTTATATTGGCCAATGAAATTTTTACTGTGTTTATAAGTTATGAGACTCATTTAGTTCACCGATAATCATTGAGACATTGTTATTTTTGTTCAAGATGTTACTTTGGGTCACGTTTAGTCAGTGTACCTTTCTAAGAGCTCGACAGAATAGGCATCTTTCTAAGTGGTTAGAAGAATTGTAACTTTTCTTAGCAATCGGCTGAATTAGCATCTTATCCCATCGAATAAAAGCACCAATTTAGGTATGATCTTTAATAAAAAAAATAGAAAATATTATTACTTGGTTATTGTTTTGATTCTCGTATGTTAACATTTACTTGTCGTTTCAAAAAAATGTGGTAAAATTTATTTAATAAGATATATGTGTGAAACATATCTTACATATGTATATCTTGCCAAACCTAAGGTACCTACAACAAGTACATAACACTTACGATTGTCTACTTGAATAAACCACAAGGTTTAAGAATAATTCGTTCTTCTGGTGCATCTAGTGTCAAAACGTATAGATCACGTATTATTCGAGAAAAAAATAAGTGTAAATGTTGAATCAAGTTATAAATTCGTTTAATCTTCCCTAAGCATGGCTCAATAAGTTTTTGTATCTAATTTTGACTGAACAATATGTTTAAGACTATCAAATAATTTTTTCGTATCAAGTTTACCGTGCCTGGAGGCTCAGAAATTTTGGTACATAAAAGGCTTTGGAACTTATCCTATTTTGGTGAGCATAATGTAAATAAACGAAGAAAAGTTCAAAAGTTCTAGAGTAGTTTACGAAGCGGCCATGAAGATGAAAACAATTTATCATCCTTACCTTATCTTTTTAAATCTTTACCATAGGTTTACAAATGCGTTGTGGCCAGTTTGACTATTGCAACAAAAGCGGATCTAAGAAACATTTTTTTTAAATTAAAATTCGAAAAAAAGACGAAGACACACAGCGATTTCTCTGCGAGGTAAACGCAGGTCAGAAAAATAAGGCGAATATTGAATGTCGTCTACGTTACTTGGCACTAAATTATACGGCATTGTGTATAAAAAATAAAATTACCAGGTTATTTGTTGCCTCGTTATTCGGATGCCGTTAACTAACAGTGTTACATAACACTGTTACATGGACAATTACTTGAATAGCTGCAAGACATTAGACGAAACATGTGTTTCCCAAGTGAGAGGCCATAAGATCTGGTTAAAGGCGCAGTGTGTGTGAGGAGCGTTGGAATTGCGGCAAAAGATGGTGACAGCGGCTTGCAAAAAAAGTCGAGGCGTGAAGTCACTCAAACAACGAACTGTTCACCATTTTGAGATGCTCTTACGTCCTTGTCTTTTTTTTTTTGAAAAGAAAAAAAGCTTTACAATATTCATAAGAATTCTTCTTCCTTTTTTTGACTTTCTTTCAAAACTTTTATAAGTTTTACGAAATAATTTTTCGACTTTAATGACTTATACGTGTAAAAAACAAGCTGCGATATANATATATATATATATATAAACCGTTAAAAAGTTTACTAAATTAAAAAATTCATAAAAAGAATAAAAATTGTTCATCATCATTAGCATGACACTGGTGTTCGCTTATTTGTATTCGTCTTTTCAACGTCTTACATACACATGAATAGTTTATCATATCGTTGTATTGATAAATGCTTAATTAAAATTCCTTTATAGAACGTTTACTTCTTAACCTCATTTACATTCTCGAATCGTAAGATATATAAGTAAGCCTCGATCAAATTGCTGCAAAGTAACTACAAAGTCTTGAAAAATTATTTCTCGTGAGTCGAGTTTTGCAATTAAAATGTTACTCAAACTATTGAACATTGCCATATGTTTTTACATTATTCAATCAAATGGACCTGCCTTTTCGGTACGAATGTCTTTTTACTATTTTCATTTTTTTATTTCTCAGTTTGTTCCAAGCTCATTAGGTTTGTGCAAACGTAGTATAAATATTGAGTTGGAAAAAAATTCACTTGAGTTTATAAACTTAAAAATCATCTGAGTGTTATTGCTTTAAAGTTTCTTTCATGTTTTTGCTCGGACTTTGTGTGATTCAACAAAATTGCATACTTTTTTTTATAAGTGTTAAAAGTAATTGTTACGTAAATTTTTCATTAGTAGTAATGTTTTTTGTTCATAATAATTGCGAGAATGCAAAAATTAGAAAAAAATTTGTGTTGGATGGGATACTACTCATGCTGCCAGTATCATTCTTACATTTTTTGTGTTGTAGAATTATTTTATCTTTATGCTTATTTTAGGAAAAGCTAATCACACGTCCAACAGGTTCTTTGTTTAAAAGAAATTTTTTGTCAAACGATGATAAAAGTAAGTAATTCGTTTTTCACTGTTACAAACAAAATAAATTAAAAGTGCAGAACTACATTAAGCATAGACTTGAACCATGATACGATTATTGTAAAAAAAAAAAATCATGTTTTGAACTGTAACTTACATAGACATTTTCATTCTAAATTTTAGTAAGACTAAATAACTTATTCAAGAATTTTTCAACTTAGAATGATTGCTACATAATGCTTGTAAATAACCTTGAAACGTGTTTTTTTTCTATGATTACTCCACAGAGCTAATTATAAAATTTTTCAGACTTAGACAAAAACTTAAATGACTTGCTAACTTCAAAGTATTTTCAAAAAAAGCAGGAAGCGAGGGAGGTAACATTTGAGTTGGAAAATAATTTTCTTTCGTTAAACCTGACTCCTCTGAGTCATAATGTTTATTCTCTCAATACATCCATATGGACCGTCAAATCTGATGTGCATGAAAAAATTGGCCGTATTTTTAAAAAAGTATATAGCACAAGATAATCATACCTTATACTGAAAGATATACAAGGTGTGCTTAAATTCTGTATTCATTCTACATCTTTCAGGAAACTACTACGTTGAACAAACAGTTTTATCAAGATTTACAAAATAAGGCAATTGTGTATGAATATAATGATAATTATTATGTAAGTAATTTTATTTTAAAAGTAACTTATGTATGCTCAGCTTTCCTGTTAACACTGAATCCAACTAATTGTTTGATGATAAAAAAAAAGAAAGGATACAAAAAATTGTTTTATTTTTTTATGTGACAAAAAATGTCTTATCATATTTTTTAAATATTTTAGGACGGGGTTTTTGGTGAGGGTAGCAAGAAAAAAACAATAAAATCTCTTCCAGGAATATCACGTAAAGTACATTTAGATGATCAGATGCCTTTGCAAACCAGAAAAAAAAATGTTACATCGATCGAATCCCGTTAGTATATCTATACTTTCAAATACTAGGAAATGTTTACGACGATCCATGGGTGTTTAAAAAAAGTTAAATAACAAACAATAATCATTTTTTTTATTAGTTAAAACTCAGGATTTTGTTAAATTTCATAAAACGGAAAAATCTCTGGAAATCTTACATCCAAAACTTATTTTGATAATAGAATGGAACTACTTTAAGTATGTATACTAATTTTTTAACAATCACTTTTTACAATAAAATACAAGATATAATTTGATATTTCCATGCACTAGAATGTTAAATGAAAGCGTTTCTGATGCAACAAAATATTTGTCTATATTTTGGAATGCTGTTAATTTAAAGTACAAAGAAATTTCAACGCCTCAAGTAAAAGTAATTATCACTGGAATTTTCATAGCTAAGGTTGGTTTAAAATTTTTTGTAACTATCAATTGTTGTGGGAGAGAAAAATGGTTAATCTTAAAAAAAAAGTTTTCGTTAACCAACCCTGAATGATAATTAAATCTTTTTATTACTTAGGATGATGCTGCAATAGACTTTATTCTTAGATCTCGTAATAAAGAAAATCCACAAAAATTTGATGAATTGAAACTCCTTAGTCTTGGGAATGAATATTTTGGTCGCACATTCAAAAAAGAAGCCAACTTCAGAAATTATGATTCTGCAGTTTTAATGACGAAGTAACAAATTTGAGTTATCTTTTATTAAATACTATTTCAAAGACTAAAATAATATTTTTTTTAGTTTCACAGCTGGATCAACTCGTGGTACGTATAAAAAAAAAAAGAATAAAAAAACATCTACTTGATACAGCTTGAATCATTAATTTTGTAATCCAGGAGGTACCATCAGAGGTCAAATTTGTAATAAGAACATCATCTACGTTTCTGACGATGCCAATTACGGTGGAATCGCAAAAGCTATTCACGAGCTTGCGCATTCGTAAGTATTTACTAATTACATTAAATCTAATGGTTTTTTTTCCTTGGTTTGCTGTCGGTAGAACTACCATAAAAACTACTTGTTAAAGGGTAAAAAATTTCTAACATATCATTAGAGTGATCCAAAATAAATGAATAAATATATTCGAGCTTTCAAACTAAATAGAACGATGGAATGACCGTGTGATTTGGTCAAAATTTAGTTGGTAGCGTCTTTTCGTACGATAATTTATACTTTAAGTTTTAATAGATGAAAGAAAAAAATAGTGAACAATAGGTTTTATGTCCTTTCAATAGTTGAGAAAAAACAGTACGTTTCCTGAATGCAGTTACAGAAAATTTATAAGTTGCTTTAACATTTTGAATTACAATGAAAAAAAAATTGGTGTTCTACAATATAAGTTGATCTTGAAACAATGTGCTTGATGATTATCAATGTTATGAATTTTTTTTATCGTAGATTTGGTTTGAGTCATGACAGCAAAAATCCCCTAAGAGGGTCTCCAAGTAGAAGCTTAATGGAACCTTATACCACTTCGCCTGAAACATACTACTGGTCAGATCAGAGTTTGGAACAAATTCAAGCTTTTTCAATGTAAGTGCTATAATCACATTGATACATTAAAAATTTCTTCCTTTTTCAATACACGTTTTAATATAAATATCCTAAATTAATTATTAATTAATATAATAATACTTTTAACTGTCTTTTTCTCTTGTTTTTTTAACTTATTATTTTTATGAAAAAAATTATAATTTGAATGACACTTTTTTATATTATTTGAAGTACTCATTTAAATAAATTATATTGTACATTGATATATAATGGTTTTTAATTTTTTAGGACAAGAGAGGCAAGTTGTTTGGGAAATTCTGGACGAAGTAAATAGATTTTGAGTCCAACTTACAGTAATTGACAAACAAATTTTTTAATTCATAAAACATCCTTCGTAAGCGCATGTACGGATATTTATGAATTTATATGTTAATGGATAAGATGTCTTTAGATAAACTTTTATTTTCTAAATAATGTTACTACAAATAAATTGAATACATTTCAATACAATTGGTGTTTTTTTTATCTCCAATCATCTTAAAAGTCATTTTTGTATTTAACAATATATTATTTAACTATTTATAATATAATGTAGCACTATACATGGAAGACTATCACAACAATTTGGTTAGTTGTAATTCAGATTTTCAATTTAAAGTATTAAAATACGGCGTATCTCTTTGACATTAAAAAATATATATTTCATCGATTTTTGATTGAAGCATTTTTGTTCTTTAAGAATTCCTTGTGTAAAATGAAACTAGAGAATTATTTATTTGAAAAACTAATGTGTTGTAGAAATGATTTATTATAAGCGTACAAAGAGTCGTAGTAAATATTTTTGCGCCATAGATCCCACAAGCGTTAGTTATTACCATTAAAAATTATTTGGTTTAGTAGAGATGGTTAATTTGATAATCAATACATTACAATTTCTTATTGAATGATTATTTACATTGAAGTTATGCATTTTTTTAGTATGTAGAAATCTCAGCGAGACTCATTGATCTACAGTGTGTACAATGCATTAAAGCCTGAAATAAAATCACCATATAATATCTTAGTTCTTGTTTTCTCAGCAGCGTTGGTACGTTTTGTTCTTGAAATAATCGACTTATCGCTGTTAGTATGCAGCCAGACATGCATGTGCGGTATTAAGTACTTACATACATACAAGAAAGTAAGATAGAGCAGAGTGCAATAAACAATTGCCTTGAGTAATACAACGTGTGTGTTGGCAGTCTATTACTTTTTAAAGTCAATTGAAAATCACGCAAAAGAAAAATAAGAATATAAAATTTACAAAATATATAAATATTAAAAAATAAATAAATCAACCCTTTGCTTTTTATGCCTTTAATTATAAATTAATTTTATACCTTGTATTTTACAGTGATTTATCTTAAAATTGCTCTTTGTACCCATAAAAAATCTCTGGATAATGTAAGATTTTAATTAGTTTTAATTAATTTTGACAGTGAAGTAATAGTGGATTTTTATTGTCCTGGTGTCTTTCCCATACTTAGAAATGCTTATTAACACTTTATTAAAATAAAAGAAAAGTCCTTATACAAATCTATGCCATACAAAAATTAAGTCAATTTTTTCGTCTTGCAATGATTGACCTTGAAAATATTGACAGTCTTATTTTACTTATAATTATTCGATACGAGCTAAAACTAATCGATATGGTTCAACTGATTACTGATAAATTTATTTTCTTTTTTGTTGCAGGTAAGCTGATTATGCATTTATTACTTTCCGAATGGACAGTGGTAAGAATATGATTGAATAATGACTAATATATTCAGAGAGAGAGAGATAAAAAAAAAAAAAAAAAAAAGTACAAGTATTAAAGTATTCATTTTCGATTAATTTTTCAACTTTACCATATGAAAACATTATTTAAAAAATGATATTAATTATGATTAACGAACATATTCATTTCTTTCAAGAGTATGAAGTTTAACTTCAAACAAATTCAATTAAATCCTAATGAATTCTAAAGAACTCATTTCTGTCGAATAGTCATGATGAAAAATATCAAAAATTAAAATGATTTTGCGAATTGTCCATTTCAATGCCTTTATAATTCAAGACGAAAAGACGTACTCTTATGTTTACTTCAAAACGAAAACATAAACATTATAGACGCTAAAAGCACATTTCGATTTATTGTCGGTGCACTGAACATAAGATTTATTACTGTACTTACGGTAGAAAACCAAAAGCTCTCTATGTTTGCAACGTTGAAATACTAATTAGTACTACCTACATCCAAGTTATGACGTCCACTTATCTTCATCTCTCGTGTTATGAAAATCCGTTCATTGGTTTGTTTTTGTTCAAAAAAATCGTGCCGCAGGTGTGGCGCGAATAAAAAAAAAAAGCAAAAAAAAAAAAAAACCAACAAAAGCACACGAGCTTTCAAGCTCTTAAGTCTTATTAATTTTTCCAGCTTCCCGGCTCCTCTTTCCTTTTTTTATTCCGCTTAATAATCTCGTTAGGCGCCACAAGCGCAGTACCTATACCATATAGACAAAGCTGCTTTCTTGCTCACGCCACGCAAACGCGCATTTATCAGATGTACTCGACGTGTGCGCGGTACCAAGGAGATAATGGAGAGCAAGGGAATGAAGTTACACAGTTCATGCGCGATAATAATTTTGCTCTCACCCCTTTCTTCCCATGCATGTACTATACATATAATATATACTCACAAGGTGTGGTGCACCTCCAAGCTCAGTGATGAAGGGCTGACGTAAAAGACGTGCCCCGTCATCTGCTGCGCGTCATCCTTATTTCAAGTCGTGCATACATACATGGATTTTCGAGCCAGAAATTAGCTCACGCGTATGAGTAGTACTATACGTAAAAACTCATACGGTACGAGCCCGACTTCGACGAGATCAGAAACAATATAGTCAAAAGGGTTTCCATTGACACTGAGTACTTAGTGTTTCGTACCTTCAAAGGTGAAGGAATCTAAAATAATCGTGAGTAGAAAATCGTCATAGGATCGTTGAGGGAAGCGATAAGACGGGTTTCTTCCAACTCTTTACATTTCCATCAAAGCTTTTCGGAAATAATTTTCAAAAATGCAAAATCTGAAATCAAAGTTCTTGGATTTCACACTCGTGTCAATGTCAACTCCAAAAAATGCCAATCACACGTTTTTCAAAGAGTCCAACCGAGCAATTAACTGTCGGGATTTTTCAGTCAACAAAAGTTTTCTTCATCCCTTCGGTAGAGGGTATACAAAAATGGCGGAGACGGTCAAGAGTGTATGATATAAAACACACGCGTAAGACATTTTGCACTTGTATCCCCACTCGGACATTGAAAGAATCGGAGTCAGCCCATTTTCTCAATACTGTATGTGTCGGAGATGTTTGAGAGTTTCATCTCTCTGTAGTACGTGAGAGTCGAGCTTCTTGAAAGAAGCGAAAAGTGGTCAGTTGCGCTCTTGTACGTGTGTATTGAAAGCTTGGCTGCACGAGCTCACATATTGTATTGAAAGAGTCGTTGAAACGAGGTCAGAAAAGCAGATGGATAATTTTCTTTGTTCTCTACTGATTAAAATGCCAACATATGTATCTTTGTTGTAAAAAAAAATTGTTTAAATGGTCCATGATTTAGATTAACAACTTGAAAAAAACCATAAAATGTATCTTCACTTGGAAAACTTGTATTAACTCAAGTTTGGGATTTTCTCATTGCCCAAGTTTGGCCAAAGTTTCGCCAAACATGAACTTGTGCGACAAACTTAAAATTTTTAAACGAGCATTTATGCAAAAAAATTACAGTAGTTTTATAAAAAAAATACGAATCAATACAGTTAGAGAAACGTAAGTCCCCTTCTCCCTCAAAAAAAAAAAAAAAAAAAAAAAGCAAACAATAGGCCCAGAAAAGAAAAAGAAATGTAAAAGACCCTAGTAAAAGGAAACAAGCTGGTAACGATCACGAGGAATGAAAGCGAAAACGTCGTGAGGATGGCATCTAAAGAGCTCTACGACGTTCACCTTGTACACTAACACCTGCAGATATATATACGCCTGTCGTATGTCCAAGTTTTCTAAATGCTACACTCGAGAATCCACTCACGTTAGCCGATCGCAAAGTGCTACAAAAGATTTGGTAAAGTTTCCCTGCTCTGCTTTATAGGCTACTTTGGATGCAAAAAAGTTTCCCGGGAGCAAGACAAACTGACAATGTTGAGCTGGTTTCTTATTTTTAATTGGTTCTTCAAGGTTGTCGTCTTTATTGGCCAACTAGCCATTATCAAGAATAAGTATCGGTTTATTGATTTTCCAAACTCTTCATTTAATACTGCTATTTCCTAAATATATACATGTTCCTTGTTTAAGGATCATTAATTAATTATCCTATTCAGTATTTTGTGTACGCATACATCTTGTGATTAAACTGATTCTACAGTAGGAATGCTAAAGTTTAGTATTTAATATATACCTACCACTTGAAAAGATCAATTACCACTTCAAGCTGTCTCTTGGTGTTATTTTCATAGTGAGTTATTCATCATTCACATACACATAGATTCTTGTGACCACCTGACAATCAGACCACTTTTACTAAAATTAGTAAAGCTCACAATTAACCCATGTCCCATGCATCGTGTGGATTGTTTACTCCGCGATACCACCTCATTATCTAATCGACGATCAAGAGAGCAAATCCATCCCATCGTTCAGACTCTTCCTGAAATCTCGACAGGCCCAAGTTGTCCGGTTCCGAGGTTCGTTGATTGATGTCCACGAGTACACACACACGCGCTCGTCCCATACATAGGTAGCAGTCAACCACGTGTCTCACCAACCCTGTCGACACACGTCTTCTCGATACAACATTCGCGTGCTTACGCTCACTCTCCGTATACATCAAGGATTCGTGATACCAATTACCACCTTTCGCTACCTTTTCACATGAGATATCGATCATTCCTGTTTTCATTTTCTTGTAAGTATTTTCATTTTTTTTTTTTTTTTCATCTACGCGGGG